TCAACAACGAAGAAAAATCAGACGAAATTCCGGTGACTCGCTTTGCCGCATTTGAACAAAATACTAGAACTTCAAAGGAAAATCTTCGTACAGTAATTGGGAGAAATGCAAATCACTGCAGGAACTAGGATTTTGCAAAACTTAGAAAGATGGCTTCCGACTCTTGATCGCTAGTCCCTTCTTGGAATGAGGAGTTACAGTAATAAATATATATAACGTCTATAATGTACATCATTGACATATGCGTCTCTGTCCCTCACCAACGGAACCTTATCTCCGTCGTTAAACGTTGCTCATTACCCTTTGTTCTTCAAGTAAATCCTGAATGGAGCTGACGGCGTTTACGAGTTTGGTTGTGGCGTCTTTAATTTTATAGCACCAACATGGGAATTGCACTTTTGCTGTCGCCCACATGTCTGACATGATGAATCAGTGGTTTAAACGTAAATTTGCCTGTCAGAAATGCGCAGATGCACAAGAAGATGAATCTAAGAGTGACACCGTCATACGACACTGCAAATCGATATCCCCAGCGCCTTATGCGAAATGCACCTTAACCATTCTAGGTCAGCCGGAAAGCTTTACTGGAAATCTCTCTGGAAATGACTAACCTTAACTTTTAATGGTAGTAAGGTTTCCAACGCGAAACCACACTATTTGAATTGTAACAGGAACTGGTTGTGGCGGAAAAGAAATAAGCATCTTTGAAATCCATAGCCAGACTATGGTTACTGTACCCAATGTGAAGATTAATTAAAACGTCAAACGCGTCTATGAATATTATTGATTTAATGAACAACGCGATTAGAAAAACCCTCAGCGGTACAGTGTTCTCCTCTGCGTTGTGACACAGTGTTGGCTGTGCTTCGAATTCGAAGTCTGGAGGTAAGGCGTTCGACTTTCACAAGGGCAATGTTTGAGTCTACGATGCATTTTCTCCAGCAAGGTATTTACCACGGGTTGCTTCAGACCGGCGTTACTCGATCGATGGAGTGGCATCGCACTTACAGCCGAAGAATTTCTGATTCGACCACCCGGAGGGAGTCACTCGCCCATCTTCCTTCCGAACTTATGAAGTTTATAAATAAGAGGAAAATTAACATGAGAATGCCCCGTTTACGTGCCCACGTAATTATTATCAACAGTGCTATTATATTAAGGCACTCCTGGCCTATGATATGGTCATCAGCAACCCCACCAATAACTTTGTGAAGAGGAAGCACCATAAATAGCTCCGTCTTGAACGTATGAGGAAGACCGAACTTCCAACGGTTAGAAATTACAGATTTTTCTTCCTTTACTTAGCTTTCTTTTTCCGTGCTGCGTTTTGTCGACATGTACCACTTTTCGGTTCTATAAGAGATCTTCGCCGGGGCAGAC